AGGAACAAACTAAAAATTTCAAACCTATTCAAATATTTAGTTAATGGATAACACAAACTAGATTAATATTTTAAACAATAACTTACAGGATCAGCAGGTCCACAGAATTCTCGAAATGTCTTTGTAGGATTATTCTGTTGAATCTCCATTGCTACACAAGGGCCAGAATACATTTCCGTCACCATTTCCTATGATATATAATATGAAAGAAACAAAAGAATTTAATAAACTTTTACCCCTTCTCTTTTAATTACGTAACTATTCCACTAATCTTGTTAAAGTCATCTTTAACTTCTTCCCTGTCCGTATCCCACACACCAAATTCCAGATTCTGTCCATTTTCCCTGCAAAAATATTTTTTAGATATGTTCCCTCACCTTCATTCCTACCAATATTCCTACCACCATTTTTTAATGTAATGCTTTACCACCTGACACTTTCATTATTTGAAATTATTTTCCAATATATCTTCTTCTCAAAGGCCTTCCTCTCCTTCAACACAAGGTTCTCAAATTAACATTCTTAAAAATATAAATTTCAAAGTTTTTCTCCTGAAGAACCTTTTAAAATCATAATGTGTTCTAGCAACAAGGAATAACAGGAACAAGATTTATTTTCCCACATTAAACATCTAGAAACTAGACAAAATACATGAAACAATAGTTTTCATATACTGGATGATAGGCAGCACAGGACTATAACCCCTGAGAGTAGGGAAACAAATGAGGTAAGTTGTATAATTGGTCCATCTTATTGCCTGGAGGCAGTTTCCAGACCATAGACCAGGTAGAAGAAACACAACACAGCTCAACATTTTCAATGAGTTGAAGAGACAAAGACTAGAGTTCAAGGAGGCCAATGTAGCTAGAATTTTCAGGGCAGAATACTGGAGAGATGAGGGGAGCTATACAGAGTGTAAGCTACATAATCTGCAGAGAATTTCACATGAATCTTTGGTTAAGAGTCTGGGAAAGTATCAAGGACACTACCTGAGGCTAGGGGAAGAATCACCAGAAGGCAGTAGATCAAACAACTCACAGAGATAGCACGAGGCTGCGAAGAGTTTGTGCCTCTACCAGCCAGAGCAGAAAGTCCTCATAAGATACATGGAACATCTGGTGCAGTCCTCAGAAGGGTGTTGTTCCATAGTAGTTGGCCTAAATTAGCCTTAGATTATGAGATGCTCTGTACCCATACTACAAAGCTTGAAATCAAACCTCAAAAGAATCAAACTGATCCCAAGTAACTTAACTAAGTGCCAGAATAAAGTCAAACATTCTTTAAAGGAATACAACAAAATCCACCACGTAACACTATAAATTTCACACTATGCAGCATCCAACAATTACCAGGCATGTAAATAAGTAGAAAAATATGAACCATCACCAGAAGCAAACACAATATAAATAGACATAAACCCAGTCATGACAGAAATGATGTAATTAACATAAGAATGTTAAAACAGCTATTATAAATAAGCTTCACATGTGCAAGTTATAGAAGGAAATATGGACATGAT